CCCCCACCCCCTTCCTGTGGTTATGGATAAGGTGGGCAGTTATCTGCCCTGAGGGAAGGACAGGAAGTAGTCGGACTTGAGGGCTGGCCGCAGCGCGAGGACCAGTGCACCCCCCGACTTTTAAAGGAGCCTTTGGATTGGCTGCATTCAGTGACCCTCTGTGTCCAGCCTGTGGCCTCTCACTCGCCCCAGCCCTGCTCCTCATAAACCCCCCTCATTGTTTGAGCTGCTGGTCCCAGCCTGTGGGGTCTTTGTGCAGCCGCCTGGGGCTGAGGGGCCTCTGGGGCCTCAAGGGAGGACTCGGCCAGAGCCCCGGCAGCGGCTTCCTCATTGGGGTGGGGTGCGGGGGGAGCCCAGGGAAGATGTGGAAAAGTCCTTGGCATGTCAGGACCAGCTGCGGGTGATTTTCTTCCTGCCTTGGCTTCGTTCTCTTTCCTTTTCTCTCCTCTGCATCCTGCTCCCTGGTCCCTGCGTCCTGAGCTTGGGGAGACCTGGGGGAGGAGGCCCAAAGCCCACAGCTTCTCCTCACTTGGAGGGCAGGACGGTGCAGTGGGCCCCGCGGGGTGGGGACCAGCAGTGCCTCTATGTTGTGGACCTGGAAACAAGGCCAGGACGGGGATGGGGGGGACCTCCCCAAGGTCACACATCTGGCCGGTAGCAGGGGGAGGTTTTGAGCACAGGCTGTCTCGTCCCAAAGCCTGCACTCCCGTCTGATGAGAAAAGTGGGCGAGGGGCTGAGGACCGCCAGGCCCAGGGACACGATGGGACGGTCTCTGGGCAGGTGGGCTCTGGCTCCTCTGGCCGGGCTGCCCTGTCTCATCTCCTCCCTGGTGGCCTGGCGGGAATGCCTGTGGGCACTCTCCGGGGGCCTAGGTCTTGTCCCTGATGGAACAGGTGTGGCACTTGCTCGCCCAGGTGAGGGCGGTGATGGCCAAGCATCCCTCCTTCCTTCCACTGGAGGCAGACCCAGCGAGTGCCTCCAGGGTCAGCTGTTCCTGCCTCTGGGAGGTTGGGGGAGAGCCGGAATTTGGGGCCCCGGCCCCCCTCCCCACCAATGCCTGCATCCCTCACCAGCTCCATGGGCCTAATGAGCTCCCTGCCGTGTGATGCCTTCGACATTCACCTTTTTCTCTAATGAGCCTCAGAGGGCGAAGCTTGGCTCCGTCTCATTGGTCACCCCCATCCTCCCGTCAGGAGGCCACGGTGGGGCTATTCCCCATCTGGGTCCAGACTCAGCTCCCCGAGGCCCACAGCGTCTGAACCCAGCCCTGGGGAAACCCGCCCCTCCGTCTCGACCCCCATGAAAAATCCAGAAACAGCAAAATGAAGACCACATGTCCATCGGCGGGATGCAGCTGCATGTCCCGTGCCTGTAGAACGGCTCGCAGACGGGCGTGTCACGGCCACCTGCCTTCCAGGTGAAGCCGCCGACCCCGCAATGGTTCCGATTTCCACGCAGGCGGCGGGCTCCCGAGACCCCTCATTGTCAGGAAGTAGTCCAAGTGTTGCTTTTGTTCATGAGATAAGCCGGGTTAGTTTTGCTTTTGTGGCTCACGTGGTTTTGTCTGTCGGTTCAGAGGCTCAGGGAATTCTCAAGTCTGGTCTCTCTTTTTTTTTTTAATGTGTTTTTATTGATTTCAGAGAGAGGAAGCGAGAAGGAGAGAGAGAGAGAAACATTAATGAGGAGAGAGAATCATTGATTGGCTGCCTTTTGTACGCCCCACACTAGGGATCTAGGCCCCCCAACCCGGGTCAGTGTGCCCTGACCGGGAATTGAACCCTGACCTCCTGGTTCATAGGTCGATGCTCAACCACTGAGCTACACCAGCTGGGCTCTATTTTGTATTTAATGTCAACACCTCCTAGCCGGTCCTGCAAGTGCAGGGATGATACAGAGAAAACTGTGAGCTCCCCATGGACCAGGGGTGGGGGGAGGGGGGCAGCTTGAGGACTGACCGTCCCGGGTGGGGGGTTGCTGGGGCCTGGACGGATGAGGCCGCGCGCGCACAGGGTGGCTTGGAGATAGGTGTCAGCTGTAGAGACTCCAGGGGTTGGAACAGGGACCTTGAAACTCAGCCGGGCTGCCCCAGAGGTCAGGCACCAGCCCACCCCCCCTGGCTTCACCTGCTGCCTTCCCCTGCTCCCAGGTGGGACCCCAGTACAATTCCACGCGGGGATTTTCCAGTTTGGAATTTCCCCCCATCTCCTCCCGCCTGGTGGCATTTTGAGGACACAGCTCCACCCCCCCCCCCCCCCCCCCCCGTCCGTTTCCTGTTCCTGCCCCCAGGTGGTCGGCGGAGGAAGTTGGCTTCTTCCTGGAATGTAATTGTGCCCCCAGGACTTGCCTGACCCACTTACCTCCTGGAGACCACAGCCTGTCAGAGGCGCGGGCAGTAATGGGCATCTCCTCCAGTGAGTGGCGTCTCCCCCCGGGGCGGCCTGGTCTGGGAGGAGCAGGGACAGGCTGTGTCCTCCTTGGTGGCCTCCCACAGGCGTCCACGGGTGGCAGAGCAGTGACCATCGGTTTGTCCCTGCCAAGCCCCATCCTGCCCCCCAGTCCTTCCCAAGCCCCCCTCGAGCGTGACCAGGGCCACGCCCCCACAGCCCACCCCTGCCTCACACTCACAGCTCACACCACCCCTCAGGCCCATGACAGGTGAGCAGACCTCTAGGTCCCAGGGTGCACGCCCCCCCCCCCCCCCCCGCACTTTCCATAACCTATGGCAGGCAGCCCAGGGCCTGCTGACCTCCAAGCTTTCATGGGTCCCCACTCAGTCACCCATTTGGGGTCCCCACCCTTCTCAGCCTGCTCCCCGAGCATCCTGGCACTGGTCCCCGAAAGACCCTGCCTGCAGGAGTGGGAGACCCCGAAGGCTGCTGGGCAGGGGGACCCAGTGAAAGCCCAGTGTTCTGAGTCTGGGGGGAAGGCATGGGGGCAGCAGGGGGGCCCTGAGCTGGCAGTGGGGGACCCCCAGCAGGCTGCTCCCTGGCCAGCTGGGTGGACGGTGACTCAGCAGCTTCCCCTCCAGTAGAGCGCGCGGTACAGCCGGGCTCATGGTCTCTTCGGGTGCAAGCTGCGGTCCTGCGGGGTAGCCTTGGGGCGCCCCTGCCCCTCACCCCTGTACCCACAGAGCTGGCGAAGGATGAGCAGCACAAGAGGGCTCACTGGGGCTACAGAGAGCAGGACGCGAGGGTGGGAGAGCTGTGCCCCATTCAGCAGGCGACTCCTGTGATGGGCCGGGACCCGCGTCCCTCTGGGGCCTCAGTTTCTCCATTTGCTCTGCATTTTTTGCAGGTTCCCCGAGCTCACAGAACCCAGGACTTTGCGGTTTAAAAAGACCTGCTCCCAACATCTGGGTTCAGAGAGAAACCCCCAGAGCAGGCGTGTGGGGCCGAGGGTTGCAGGCCTGCAGAGCAGGAGGGCGAACCCTCACTTATAGGTGCACAGGTGGCTGAGCCGGGGAAACAGGCGGGCACCTGGCCTTCCGCTCCGAGCCTCAGGCCTCCGCCCGGCCTCCTCTCAAAGGGCCTGGGATTGCTGAGCGCAGCTTCGATGCCAGAGAAGGGAAATGAGTTGTCGCAGCAGGAGAGATTGAAGTTAGACTCAGGAAGGACTTTCCAGCCCTCAGTGGTCGCAGCGGCTGCCTTGTCCCGCCCGGGAAGATGCACACAGGTTACTCACCGACACGGGCAATTCATTATCGAAACATGCCCGGAAATGAATTCATGAAAACTTTATCCCCTGTCTCCCAGGACCCATGGGTCCGGAAAATAACGGCATAAATTCATCCTTAAGGGTTGAACTTTGCTAGCCCGTGCGCTCCTGCGAGAGGCATCTTGCTGGCTAACCTACTTCCATCTCATTAGCGCGGCGTCTGCAAATGCAGGTCGGGAAGATGAAACACGTTGTGTCCAGTAGCTCCTTGTTATCCGCGTCGTCCGAGGCCAGGCCCGAGGGGGACCGTCCTCGGGAGCGTGGTCCTCACGTCCTGGTCGGTTGGTTTGGGGGGGGACAGGTGGTGGTGAGTGTGGGCGTGGGTGTCACATCCCCGCCTCTAGTCTAACTCCCTTGCAGCCCACCTGCCAGGTGTGGTTGGTGGAGTTTCCATTAGTTTCCATCCAGGACTACAGCCGGGCTCTGAGCACTCTGAGTGTTTGGAGTTAAGGGATGTTCCTGCGTGTTGCTAGGAGGGCCCTGGAGGTGTGGCCCTGGGGAGGCGTGGCCCTGGGAGGCGTGGCCCTGGGGAGGCGTGGCCCTGGGAGGCATGGCCCCCGGGGAGGCGTGGCCCTGGGGAGGCATAGTTGGTCCGAGGCAGAGAGGTGGTCACACCCACTTACCCACCCCAGGCCACACGTGGCTGGTTCCCGTGGCCGCTCACGAGCGCTCAAAGATATATGTGCCAGGACCGCATGCACCTACCGCCTCACCCGGCCCTGCCACCCTCTTCAGACCTGCAGGCCAGCAAGCAGGTGCCTTCACGGGCCCGGGCCCAGCACCCGCAGCATCTCTGCCTAATGGCCTGTCTCATGCTTTCCCGCTCAGGCAGTTCTGAGCAGACAGAGGTGCTCACTCGGCTCAGGGCCCCTGGAGCCCCTGGTCATTCATCATCCTCAGCTCTGCCAGCCGCTGCCTCCCCAGGAGTGCAGCTTGAGCAGCGAGGGGGGGACTCCGCTGTTCCTTCTTGCTGGGTTCCTGCCCCGATGCCCGCACCCTGCGCCCTGGGTAGCGACTCGTCCTGGGGTGGAGGCGGCTGTGCTGTGGGGAAAGAGCATGGCTGTGCGGCCTCAGAGAGTGGAAGGAAGGGGAGAGACACAAAGGGAGAAACATGGATGTGACAAAGGCCCATTGATTGGTTGCCTCCAACATGTACCCCAACCAGGGTACACGCCCTTAACGGGCATTGAACCTAGAATCCTTTAGTCCACGGGCCGACGCTCTATCCACCAAGCCAAACCGGCTGGGCTGACACTTATTTGTTTTTTTTTTTTAAAAACCTAAGTTGCTGATACCACCATCGTTCAGGACCGGGCAAGGGCTAGGAGGCCAGAGGGCACGGCATCGCACAGACCAGACCTCTGACCTGTTCCTCACGTACGTCCCTGAGCACCAACTATGTGCGGTCAAAGATCTGCAGTCATGGTTCTTAAATCCCAGCGAAGGGCAGACAACAACTAAAACACAGCCTGTCGGTGACAAGTGCAGTGAACGGGGGGCTGGCAGTCCCAGGGGACCTCGCGGATCAGAAGTGAGCCCCATGGGGTCTGCGGGAAGGGCGTTTCAGGTCCAGAGAACAGCAGGTGTGAGGCTCCGAGTGGTCAGGGAGGACACAGCTCTCGGGGGGATGCAGCCCTGGTGTTTGGCCACAGGACTGGGGGGGGGGCCTGGCTGCTCACCTGCCCCCCCTCTCACCCACAGCCACCCCCGCGGCCACCATGTGGAACATCTTCAAGAAGAACCAGCAGCCCGAGGCGGCGCCGGCCACCACCACGGCCACCATGCCCGTCAGGCCGGTGGGCAACTCCACCGAGAGTGGGGGTGCCGGGGGGAGCAAGGAAGACATGTTTGCCAAGATAAAGGAGAAATTCTTCAATGAGATGAACAAGATCCCTCGTGAGTGTCCCCGAGGCTGTGTGTGTGTGTGTGTGTGGGGGGGTGCCCAGGGGCGCGATTGGCTGGGTTCTTTCCTGAACCGGGTTTAGGCTGTATTATTGGGGCGCCCTGTCGATAATGGGGAATGTGAGCTGGCTTACTGAAGGGAGCAGGGGGTATATAGGGCCCAACCTCCCAGGGAAACAAGTTCCTATACAATTTAGAAAACTGTCAAAAGATGAAAACAAAATATTAAAAAAATATATTTTAAAAAATGGATTTCAGAGAGGAAGCAAGAGGGAGAGAGAGAGAGAAACATCCATGATGAGAGGGAATCATGGATCAGTTGCCTCCTGCACGCCCCACACAGGGGATCAAGCCTGTAACACAGGCATGTGCCCTTGACAGGAACCCGCGACCTCCTGGTTCATAGGTCAATGCTCAACCACTGAGCCGCACTGGCCGGGCAGTGATGGACATTTTAGTACCTTATGGTGCCCCTGCCTTGTGACTTCCTGCTAAGTCTGTGTGGGAGACACAGAGGCCACACTCAGCCTCACCAGCTTACATGGTGGTCAGGACCGCGGACAGCGGCCAGGTGGTCAGGACAGCGGCCAAGTGGGTCAGGACCGCGGACAGCGGCCAGGTGGGTCAGGACCGCGGACAGCAGCCAGGTGGGTCAGGACCGCGGACAGCGGCCCCAGGTCCTTAAGGGCCGCGGACAGCACCCAGCCTGGGCACTCTGGGATCTTCCCACCTTGTCCGAGGACCACCCCACCCTCTGCAATCCGACCAGTTCTCCATGGGTCAGACTGGTCAACGCTCGTAGAGCCCAGGTCACCTCCCGCACGTTCAGCTCAAAGGCATCTCCCCGTTGGCAGGCGTGTCCACGGGGCCATGGGCTAGGTACCCGTGATAAGGCAGGTGAAGCACGTGAAACTTCCCTGAAGATCGCGCACGAGTGTGTGGTTGGACAGTGTGGGCTGGGCAGGGGCCACGGTCCCCACCCAGGGCCGGGCCCTGCTGATGTCCGGCTCTCCCGTGGGCAGTGCCCCCCTGGGCGCTGATAGCCATCACCGTGGTGGCCGGCCTCCTGCTCCTCACCTGCTGCTTCTGCATCTGCAAGAAGTGCTGCTGCCGGAAGAAGAAGAACAAGAAGGAGAAGGGCAAGGGCGCCAAGAATGCCATGAGCATGAAGGACATGAAGGGCGGGCAGGTAGGACGGGGGGGGGGGCCCGGGAGGGCACTCCTGCCCCTCGGAGGCCAAACAAGGGCCACTGGGCTCTGCAGCCACCGGGGTCCCCCCCAGACTGTAGCACAGTCCCCACCGGCTACGTCTGCAGCTTCACCTGTTGACCCAAGGTGCTCGTGGGAGGGGGACTGGTGGGGGGGACCCGTTCTTGAAAGGGCAGAGGAACAGAACATGCATCGACCCCAGGAGAGGCTGTTGGAACAAAATGTTGGAGGGAGACCCCCCATCTGGGAGGCCCCCCCAGTGGCTGTGACCCCAGAATTTTTCTCTTGACCACATTCTCCCTTCTCTCCCCACCTCTGTGGACTCGCCCTGCTCCTGCTCGCCGGGGCTGCTCGCCTGCCCGGTAAGTCTTGCCCAGGGTGTGTGGGGCCTGAGCTGGGGGAAGTATGGGGGCGGCGGGGGAGGGCTGACAAGGGAGATGCTGGGTCCTGCAGTGGAGAGGCACAGAGCGGAGCCCTGGGGGGACTGCCCGCCCCCACAGTTCCCGTCCCTGTCCCTCCCCTGACTCTGAGCTGGAGTCTGCACAGAGGCCCTCTTCCCACGGCCCCTGTGCTGGGCCTCTCATATGTGCTCTGTCCTCTCATAGCTCTGTCCCTCTCTCCGCAGCCCCCGCAGGATGATGATGATGCAGAGACCGGCCTCACCGAGGGGGAGGGGGAGGGCGAGGAGGAGAAGGAGCCGGAGAACCTGGGCAAGCTGCAGTTCTCCCTGGACTACGACTTCCAGGCCAACCAGGTGGGCGGCTGGAGGCGGGCGGCAGGGGACAGAAACCACCCCTCTCTGCCAGGGGCAGGCTGGAAGGACCCCTGGCCCCACTCCCTCCATTAACCCACCCCACCTTGGGCCAGTCGGTGGCCTCTCAACTCCGGTGACCCCTGTGTTGTCCTGAGTTCTTAGGGGTGGAGGGGGACGATCCTTCTCCTGCCCCAGCTTTCCTCCCGACCCAGGCCTCTGGGAAGGTTGCTGGTGCGGTCCTGAGACCCTGCGGCCCCCTGTCTCCACAGCTGACCGTCGGCGTGCTGCAGGCTGCAGAACTGCCTGCCCTGGACATGGGAGGCACCTCAGACCCTTACGTAAAAGTCTTCCTCCTCCCAGACAAGAAGAAGAAATATGAGACCAAAGTGCACCGGAAGACGCTGAACCCCGCCTTCAACGAGACCTTCACCTTCAAGGTGACGAGGGCCGGAGGGTGGACCCCAGGCCCGCCTGCCTCCTGCTCACCTCTCCCGGCTCCCGGCTCTATGCCGTGGCTGAGTTCACGGAACCAACTCAGCCTGGAATGATGGCGGCTGGATCGCCCCCCCCCCCAATCCCAACTGTTCCCCCAGAGCCCGGGTCTTCCCTCCGTCTCCACGGCCTCACCGGGAGTCCTGCGGACAGCGGGGAGAACGCTGGGCCCAGGGCCCGGCCCACAGCAGCCCATGCAGGTGTGTGAGCCGCCCCGACCTGCTCTGACCCCGCCTGTGCCCTGCAGGTGCCGTACCAGGAGCTGGGGGGCAAGACCCTGGTGATGGCCATCTATGACTTCGACCGCTTCTCCAAGCACGACATCATCGGGGAGGTGAAGGTGCCCATGAACACGGTGGACCTCGGCCAGCCCATCGAGGAGTGGAGAGACCTGCAGGGCGGCGAGAAGGAGGAGGTGAGAGCAGAGATGTGTTTGTTTTGTTCTCTGTTGAGTCCATCAGCTTGCTCCCCACCCCACACCTCCTCCCAGGCCTGTTCTCTTGGTGGAGAGCGAACCATCTCACTGGGGCAAGGACAGGAGGGACACAGGGATGGACCACGGTGGCCACATAGGTGCTCACGTGCTCCACCTGTTGACCCAAGGTGCTTGTGGGAGGGGGACTGGTGGGGGGACCCATTCTTGAAAGGTCAGAGGAACAGAACACACATCCAACCCGGGAGAGGCTGTTGGGACGAAATGTTGGAGGTAGACCCCCATCTGGCTTACTGGACCGCGGCCAGCGGCCAGGTGGTCAGCACCGCGGACAGCGGCCCCAGGTCCTTAAGGGCCGTGGACAGCATCCCAGCCTGGGCACTCTGTGGGAAAGTACAACTTTCTTTTTAAAAAAATATTTTTATTAATTTCAGAGAGGAAGGGGGAGAGAGAGAGAAACATCGATGGTGACAGAGAATCATCCATCAGCTGCCTCCTGCCCGCCCCCCACTGGGGACAGAGCCTGCAACCCGGGCCTGTGCCCCGACTGGGAATCGAACCCTGACCTCCTGGTTCATAGGTCGACGCTCAACCCCTGAGCCACGCCGGCCGGGCCACTTACCAGAGATTTATCCAGCACCTACTGTGTGCCTGAGCTCGCCCCCTGTCCCGGCCAAGCCCCGCAGTGTGCCCCGCGTTCCCAGCTGTGATGGAGGGGAGAAAAGAGGCCCTTAAGGAACCTTCTCCACCTGGGGGCCGGCGCTGTCCCGGGGAAGGGCCCGCAGCTGAGCCGTGGGCAGGGGGTGGGGGGATGGCCCGTCTCTGAGAAGCGGTGACTGCAGCCCGGTGGGCAGAGACCTCCGGGGTCGCCCCCTCCCCGCTCAGTGGCTGTGGGACGTTGCGCACATCCTCCCGTCTCTGATCCTCCGCCTGTCCCTCCGCAAGGACTCCCGCCCGTTCACCGGAAGGGGCTGCAGTGACAAGAGCAGGGAAAGGGCCGCAAAGTGCTCTGGGGTCCGCGTGTCCTCACGCGCAGCCGTCCCGGTGGGCGGACACGTGGGGGGACGGTGCCCAGGTGCTGCCTCCAGGGCCCTGGCTATCAGGCCCGTCCACCTGGCTGAGGCCTGGGGTAGCAGGAGGCCTGGCTATCATGCCCGCCGCCCGCCAGGCACCACCGCCCACACCTGCCTGCAGCCTGTCTCCACGCCCCGGGCTGCTCGCTCGCTCGCTCCCTTGTTCTCCCCTTGGGGGGGGGGGGGGTCTGACGCTGAGACACCTGCTGGGGGCGGGAGGGCCGTGCCCGAGGCGCGGGGGTGGCCGAGCTGACCGGTCCCGCCTCCCTGCGCAGCCGGAGAAGCTGGGCGACATCTGCACGTCCCTGCGCTACGTGCCCACGGCCGGGAAGCTCACCGTCTGCATCCTCGAGGCCAAGAACCTGAAGAAGATGGACGTGGGCGGCCTCTCAGGTACCTGCAGCGCTTCTGGCCGCCACTGGGTGGCAGCAGCGAGCCAGTTCCCTTGGGCACTGCCACCCGAGGCCTCCCGCCTGGGACAGGCGGCTCCGAGGCTGAGTCCCCCCACCCCCCACCCCCACCCTCACCCCCACCCCACCCCGAGGGCAGGACCGGGCAGCAGGGCGTCGGGCTCCCCGGAGCCCCCTTTCTCCGAGGGCCCCCTTCCCGGCTCCGAGATGCCTTCGGGGCTGTGCTCTGAGTCCGAGGTTTAGGATTCTCCTTCCCCCAGGAAGCGTGGGTGCCCCCACAATCCGGATTCCACCCTGGGAGGGACCTGGGGGGCGGGAAGGGCCTGGCGGGGGCCTGGCCCCCGGCACAGGCGGGCGTCTGCTGGCCGTGCCTCCCCAGGAGCAGGTGTGACCTCGGCCAGGCCTCGTCCCCTCTGTGGGCACCTGGGGGTTCCCTCCTCCCCCCGTGAGAGGCGCTGGGGGCACCTGGGGGTTCCCTCCTCCTCCGTGAGAGGCGCTGGGGGCACTTGGGGGTTCCCTACTCCCCCCGTGAGAGGCGCTGGGGGCCCTGGGGGTTCCCAACCCCGTCAGAGGCGCTGAGGGCCTTGGGGTCCCCCCCCCCCGTGAGAGGCACTGAGGGCACCTGGTGGCTCTCCCTGTGCAGACCCCTACGTGAAGATCCACCTGATGCAGAACGGCAAGAGGCTCAAGAAGAAGAAGACGACGGTGAAGAAGAAGACGCTGAACCCCTACTTCAACGAGTCCTTCAGCTTCGAGATCCCCTTCGAGCAGATCCAGGTGCCTGGGCCTTGGGGGGCCGGCGGGCGGGCAGGCGGGTGGCCCGCGGTCTGGGCTCGAGGGGAGCAGGGCGGGCATGGCCCCCCTCCGCCGGCCGACCCCGCCCCTTCTGTCCCCGGCAGAAAGTCCAGGTGGTGGTCACGGTGCTGGACTACGACAAGCTGGGCAAGAACGAGGCCATCGGCAAGATCTTCGTGGGCAGCAACGCCACGGGCACGGAGCTGCGGCACTGGTCCGACATGCTGGCCAACCCGCGCCGGCCCATCGCCCAGTGGCACTCGCTGAAGCCCGAGGAGGAGGTGGACGCTCTCCTGGGCAAGAACAAGTAGGAGCAGCGGCCGCCGCGGCCGCAGGGCCGGCTCGGACGACAGACCCAGAGCTCTCGATACCTCAGTTACGCCCTCGAGGTTCCCCCCCTGTGGTCGCGTCCTCGTTCCCCTTCCTTTCCGTCTGTTTAAAGACCGGCTTCCCGCTGGCGGCTCTGAGGAGCCTCCCCAACCAGCGGACGAGGAGCCCGGCTCTTGTCACCGTCCGGGAGCCGCTCGCTGCATGCCCGTCACCGCCATCGTCATCGCGGTCCCATCAGGGTCCCTCGGTCCCAGCCTCGCCCGAGCCTCACAGGAGTGAGGCCCTCTAGTGGCAGAAAGTCTTGACGTGTCCCCTTTTTTGCGTGTTCTGGGCCCACACAATGGCACTTCCTGTGTCCTGGGGGGGAAGGCTGCACAGTGGCCAGCGACGGTGTGCACACTTGTCCACATGTGTGTGCACACGTGTCCACATGTGGGTGCACACGTATACACTGTGTGTGAGTGCATTGTGTGTGCATGCGTGCAAGGGCATTGTGCACACGTGTGTGTGCGCGGACATTGTGCACACGTGCGTGTGCGTGTGTGTGAGTGCATGTGTGTAAGGGCACTGTGCACACGTGTGTGTGCATGTGTGAGGGCATTGTGCACACGTGTGTGCATGCATGTGAGCATCTCCACATTCCTGGAACGAGCCATGGACAGCGCACTGCTGCAGGAACGGAAGGCTCTCCGGGGACCCTGACGCCACCGCAGGTCCTCGGTCTGCGTGGGAGGCAGCGGTGGCGAAGGCCCCGGACCCGCTCAGCTGCCGGAAGCGCCCGCCCTCCTCACGGGCGACCCTCTGGGAGGCGAGCTGTGGGGATGGATCTGTCCGGAGCCAGGACCAAGCCCTGCCACCGTGGACTTCCTGCGCTCAGCGCGGTGGCCCACGGGGGTGGCTTCTGGGACATTCGTGGACGGGAGCCGTTTGCCGGGTTGGTCGGCCTCCGAGGGGACTGTCAGTCCCGGGATCTCACGCTCCTTGACCGTTCATCTCACACCACAAAGAACCAGGGGCCCCGTGACCCCGAGACCAAGCGCCCCTCCTGGACCCTTGCCCCCCGCTCCCCCCCGCCCCGGGGGAGCAGACGCCCCACGGTCCACGCCCTCATTTCCCATCATGCTTTGGCTTGTTTCCTCTCTTAAACCAAGTGAAGCAACCTGTCGGCAGGCCCGGCGCCCGCGGAGCCAGAGGGACGTTGGCTGGTTTAGTCCCCGAGGTCCAGGTGAGGTGGGGGGGGGGGGGCGGGCAGACAGGGCACGGAGGGTCCCCGGCGCCCGCGGAGCCAGAGGGACGTTGGCTGGTTTAGTCCCCGAGGTCCAGGTGAGGCGGGGGGGTGGGGTGGGGTGGGCAGACAGGGCACGGAGGGTCCCCGGCGCCCGCGGAGCCAGAGGGACGTTGGCTGGTTTAGTCCCCGAGGTCCAGGTGAGGCGGGGGGTGGGGGGTGGGCAGACAGGGCACGGAGGGTCCCCGGCTCCCACCCCTCGGCCCTCCTGGCCGGAGGCTGGTGGGCAGCGGCGTGGCCCCGGGCGTGTGGCACCCACTGCCCTTCCTCGGGAGGAGGCTCCGAACTCCGAGAGGCAGGGCCCCCTCCAAACGGGGGTGGAGGACACTGGGGTTGCTCCCCACGCTCTCGTCCCCGCCCGTCTCCCTGTGCCCCCAGCATTGATAAAAAGCCATATATATGTTCCCATCGGCACGGAGTCCCCTTCCAGACCCACAGCCGGGCGAGCGAGGCAGCCCCCCAGCCGTGCACCCCTCCCTCAGCCCAGAAGCCCACAGGCCCCCCACATCCATGAGAACTCTCCTCCCCAGATTACCCCCCCCCCCCATCCCCTCGGCTTCCTTGGCGTCTGGGACAGGTGGCCGGTGTTGGAGCAGCAGCACCAGGTGCAGGCAGCTTCTGTTTTACCAAGAGGAGGAGGGGCGTGGTCTTGGCTTTGCCACCTTCAGCTGGAGGGGGGGTGAGGGGACCCTCCACCCGAAACGGGGGAGCAGCTCGGCCTCGCCGCCTCTCAGAGCCCCCTCCCCGCAGCCTTGGGACGTGGAAGTCCGTTCCTGGACCCTGTGTGCGCGCACGTGTGTGTATGTGTGTGTGTTCTCATGATGAGGCGGGAGGACCCCACAGGGTGAGGAGCGTGTAGGGCAGGGGGTGCCCGCAGAGACGGAGGTCAGAGGTCCCTGGGCTCCGCCCCCTGCTCCAGAGCAGTGGGACTTTGGTGCTTTCTCAGGGTGTGTCCCCCTCATTCCCTCCCACGAACCTTATCACAGACTCTCCAGTCAATCTCACCCCCCTTCCCCGCCCACCTACCGGCCCCCCACCTTCCCCGCCTTCCCGAGCCCAGGTCGACCTCACACAGGCTCCTCTGGGTCTTGTTGCTCTGGGCCCACCTCTAGGGGTCGGCCTCGAGGGTTGGGGATGGGGCTGAGAGTCTGTGTTGGCTCCAGAGACACCTGGGTGTGGGGGGCCATGGGCCCCGTCGAGCCGTTCAGCAGAAGGCGCCTGTCCGGCTTGCATAGGAGTTCTCCCCACTGGGGACGGCGTTACCCAAGCCACAGGGCACGTTCTGAGCCCTTGCTGCCCCGTGGGTTTCTTTCTGGGCCCTTAGGGAGTGGGGTGCCGGCCCCACGTAGGAGGCAGTGGGGGCTGGAGGCCTCCGGGGCTGGGAGTCTGAAACCATGAAAACAGCCCCACCCCGAACCCAGGTGAGGCCAGGAGGCTGGGCTTTCTCCTTCCTCCTCGGGGATCTTTCCGGAAGGAAGCAGAGGTGGGGGAGCAGGTGCCGGACATGAGAGGGAAGTGAGATTCCAGGGGTCCCTCCGCTCTGTACCCTCTCCCGCAGGATCTGTCGGGGTGCGAGGCCTGCCCAGGGCTTCAGCCAGGGAAGGGGGGTTGCAGCCACCCTCGAGGCAGTGGGGCCCGTGGGGGAGCCCAGAGGTTGAGAACTGTCCCCCTCCACCAGCCCCCTCTCCCCACCCCTGGGGGAGGGCAGGCAGGGAAGTGTCCCAGGCCGGATCTTGGGGCCCAGAGCCCTGTGACATGAACAGTGAAACTGTTAAATGTAGGGGCGTCCCAGGCACAACTTGGGACACAACCCACTGAATGTACTTGGCTGTGTGTCCCTGACATTCGAGTCTAACTGGCCGGGCTGTGGGTTCTGTGACCGTGTTTCCCGGGGGGGGGGGGGGGGCGGCTCGTCCGGTGGAGACAGGTCCCCAAGGGCTTCTCCCCTGGGTTTTGAGCTGCAATATGATGGAGGAGGACGCTGAGGCTTGAAGACACATGAATATACTTTATTTTTTAAGCGACAACAAAACCAGAACCTTCTGAAGCCATTTGAGCCCCCCCCACTCCGCCCCCCGTGGGTACAGTTGTCTGTAACTGACCCCGCCCCCCTAGACGCCTGACCGAGCCTCATCCCACATGCATGTCTTCCTGTGAGCAGCGCATGGCCCAGCTGAGCGCCGGCCCCTCCCCCGAGTCTGTGTCCGAGAAGTCTGTCACCGCCCCCCCCCCTGCTCACCCACTGGGAACCGCCCCCCACCCCTCACCCTCCGCCGTTGCCAGCCCTGGGGTTGCTGGCGCCTGAGCCCCCCCCCCCCCCAGGGTCCCCTCTGTCTGCAGGGCTGACCTGGCCGTGCTGTGTCCAGCCCCCTGCTGTCTGGTGTCCGTGTGTGTGTGTGGTGTCCCCCCACCCACTGTGTGAACTAACTGACAAGCCATACAGGGGCCCCCCAGGACCCCCCCCCTTGGCTCCCGACCCCCTACAAAGGGCTCCCCGCTGCTTCCTTCTGCTCAGCCCGTGTGGTGAGGGCGAAGGTGCCCAGGGTCTGCACCCGTGGTGGACGGCCAGGCTGGGCACCCCAGGGGGGCCTGTCCAGGCACCTGGCGGGCATGTGCAGCCAGGCAGGGGCTCAGCCTGCGGTCAGGCTCCCGTCACCGCTGGGGTGGACGGTGCTCACTTCCCACGTGGGGTCAGGTCTGGATGACCAACGAGGGGGACCCGCTCTTCCTATCGCCCCTCCTGCCGTCTGACCGAGGGCACCTGAGGCTGCAGGGCCGCCCGGAGGGTGGAGGGCAGGTCTAGATGGGGGAGCACTCGGGGGAGCACGGGGCTCCAGCCCGCCTGCAGCCCCGGCCCGGCCGGCAGGGCACACGGCTCCCGGAGCTCAGCTTGGAAGGGCGGGTGGGGCCTGGGCATCAGGCAGGTGTCGGACGGGCCACAGGGGCCGGGTGGGCTCTGCCCTTCGTGATGTGAGCACACGGGCCCGGCCCCACCAGGGCCACCTTCATCTTCACAGAACACGCGGCAGCCTGTCCCCCCGCCCCCCACCTGCCTGGCGATGCTCTCACCCCTCGTGTGGCCCCTTGTTCTCGTCTGATCTCGTCAAATCGTTATTTTGTAATGAGCTGCGTCTCCTTATTAAAGAAATGAGCTGAGAGAAACCTGGGGGTGGGGCGTGTCTGGCTGTGTTTGCTGGGGGGCGGGGGGGGGGGGCAGGCGGGGGAGGGGGGTCTGGGCTCCGAGGGCAGCAGCCTGCGTGGCGGAGGCCGCTCCCTGGGGTGGGGATGGAGGCCCTGAGCGGGGCTTGGGGGAGCCTGGCCCCGGGTCTGGAAAGAGAATTCCTACACGGTCCCCCGCCAACTGCCTCAAAGACTTCAAATGTCTGACTTTGGAGGCAAAGGTGTTGGGGACCAAAGACAGGGCTGCGGCTCTCAGCCTGCCCTGTGCCGGCCGAACGGCAGCCTTGACGTGGGGGTTTGTTCTGCTGTGGACCGGGGCACGGAGAGCAGCCGAGCAGCCGGTCGGTGCTGGCCTGGGCCAGCCGGTCAGCCAGTCACAACCGGGAGCCGGCAGAGGCTTTGTCTCTGGCTACGGCCACGTGGACGTGGAGGGTGCACATCTTGTCTGAGCTCTGTCTCCACGGAAATACACGGCACCCTGGCCTGGTGGCTCTGTGGGTCCTCACTGGGCCTCGCCTCGGCCGGACTCTCGGACCTGCCCTGGGGACCCTGGCCATGGCCGAGGTGGGCGGGGCCCCGGCATGGGTGGGCGTGCCCCAGGGCAGAGGTGGGCGGGGCCCGGGGCGTGGGTGTGTCCTAGGGCAGAGGTGGGCGGGGCCCGGGGCAGAGGCGGTGACGTGAGAGGGAGGCCCACTACCCGTTTTAGGCGCAGAGCCAGTCAAGTCGAAACACGTTTATTGGCTGTAAAGACCGCTGTGCGCAGGCGCCACACAGTGAGTTACTCCCACACAGGAACTCAGTGACATTAGGCAACACCCACCAGCAAACCACTCGCCCACTCGGGTCGGAAGGCCACGCGAAGGTGCATACAAATACATTCAGCTCAGTGGCCTGCTGCCCGCTCGGCGCCCACCCGGCATTTACAGCGGCAGAGCCCGGCCCACGCAGCGCCCGCTGACCCGGGGGAAGTGGAGACGGACGGACGGAGGGGGATGGGGACCAGAGTCGCCCGAGGGCGAGTCCTGGGATCGGGGTCGGGTAGGTGGTTTGGGGAAGCGTGAGCTCCCAGGGCTCGGACCCTGTCCCGGTGGGATGCGGCCACGCTGCCCCCGGTCCAACCTCAGGTGCGGCCGGGGCCCCGCTGGGAGTCTGGGACAGGCCGGGGTCACGTGGCGGCTGGTCCTCGGAGGCCTCCCTGCCCTCGGGGAGGAGCGGAGGGTGTGAGGGAGGCGGGGGGAGGGCAGGCGCGGCCGAGGTGAGGGCGGCTCACGCTCGGTGGGACTCAGGTTAACGAGGAGCTCAGACTCTCGAAGGCTCCGCGGCCCACACACCACGTGCGCGCCTGCCTCTGACCAGGACACCTGCGCCTCTGCGCTCCGGGCACCTGCTGGTCAGGTTCCTGCTTTTTCTCTGCCCCAGACAGTTCCCTGGCGGCCATGGCCATTTCTGGCGGCCGTTCAGTCCCTTTTGTGCAACCTCACCAGGAGCCGACAGGCGGCCAGGAGCCGGCCCGGAGGGCCATGCCATCGGGAGGCCACTGAGGTCTCCGCTTGGCTGGAGGCTGAGGTCTGAGCCACCAGGGGCCCACCCCACCTGCCCCTCGATGGACCCGACCGCCTGCCTCCTTGCGCCTTGGGGTCCCTGTCCCTCCTCTCCCCGCACCTGCCTTCCGAGAGCGACTACAACAGGGCTGAGTGTTCCCCATGGGTGTCCCCCGCAGACCCAGGGAGCGGCCCTGCCCCTCCTCACCTCGC